TATATAATTTATTTGAACCAAGTTGAAAAATAAAGATGACGGTCAGTTAAATTCTAAAACATGAGGTAAAGTTCTCCTTTTTTAATTTAATTGGTGCATTTTAAGTGTATTTATTTATATATTTATTAGTCAGTTCATATTTTTCTGCTTTTATTTCTAATTATGTCACATTTGGTCTTCCATTCAATTGTGATGGCCATCTTGAACATTGTTCGCGGCAGAAGGTATTCAGCCAGAAAAAGCCATACAATTTTCACAGAGATATTTTGCTAACACTACATTCAACAGTACATCCAGACACAGGAAACAAAACTGCTTTTTGTCTCTCAGAAGCAGCTGATCAACAGAATATGGCACCATTCATGTAGCAATAATTTTAAGCAGTGTTGGTTCTAGATTGTAGGGGCTAATCTTTATTTCTCCCTGAAAAAGTAGTATTTCTGTGATCCTGCTTTTCTGTGGACATTCTTCATCTGACAGAAWCTTTAAAAAGAATCTGAGCTGAAAGGATTTTAAGTTTTTGGCGCAAGTAATAAGGTTTCAGAGTGGTTGTTTCATTATGTGTTAGTTTTTTCTTACTAGCGCCTACATTTGTTTTGTCCTTTTTTTTCAGTCTGACTGCAGGGTTTTTTGCCTTCACACAGATCTGGACCATCACCAATGGCTGCCGTGATTGTGGTGAATGACGCGGGGGATCTCCCAGTATCTCAGTGGCAGTTTGATGATCTGAATATCACATGAGTTGGGAGTCTGAAATACATGAACATCAGAGAACACAGATGGAYGGCGGGAACCCACAGAGACACGACTTGATTTAGGACACATATCTAAACTCATTCTGTCACAGATTACCATCTCACAGGGACTCCATTGATTCTTAGCAGAGAAGATAAGGTGCTGATGGAAGGTAAAAGGTGCAATAAATGTTTGGACTAACAGCATCAACAGGAATCTGGCACGACTTACTGATGTAGAGTGTTCTAAACTAGCAGGGAGATTTCTATTCAACATTTAATAGCGGCCATGAAGCATTTTTTCCCCACCATTTATAGTTCTATATCTTTCAGTTGTGTTTATACAGCAATAGCATAGCATTTAGGAGGCACTTGTGAGAGTGAAAGATAAAGCCCTGAAATAGTAATTGTTCAGTTTGATTATTTATCATAGCGCATGAATGGAAAAATAAATGGTTGCAAAAGATAATGCAAGTTTGGATCAGAGGTTTACTAAAGAAATGTGTAAATATCCATATTTTATGATTTGAAGAGTGAGTTCAAAACTCCTCATTGAAGTATGTTAAAGTTTCAGGACCCACTTTTATTTCAGAAACAAAGGGGAGAATGAAATGCTGGAATAACCCAGCAAGAAAGGGAGGCCAGAATTGTCTCAGAAATCAATTAACACAATCACATTTGTAATATTTGTTATGGTTTAAAAGTTATCAACACAGAAATTGGCAACARCATCTGATAACTATAGGGCTGTGTATCACAGGACATGGCATTCAATAGGATTCTCGAYACAGTGCAACTCAATTCGATTCGGATTCAACATAGATCCATATTCCCTTAAACTTATTGCTCAATGCCACTGACTCAACAAAATGAGCAGAATATTATAAAATTATAATTTTAAAAACCAAAATGTGTCCAAATGTCTGCTTTTAAAGGACAGAGGCACTTCCAGAATACTGCTGGCTATTTCGCTATACTGCCCCCTAAGGGTTGGGGGATGTGGTGTTTGTGTATAGTTGATATTAAAATAAAGAAAATTGATACAATATCATTTTTAAAAATATCAATATATCTTGATATTTCGATTTTTTATGCACAACCCTGCTGGTAACGTTGCCAGTGAGCACTACGGACAGCACATGTGTACTGCACACAGTTCCAGTCTTTGAAAAAACTTCAGTATCTTAGTTAGTTAGTTATAAACTACTTAGTTACTTAGTTAGTTATAAACAGGAGAAACTTTGATCAACTCTCCAAAACTCTGCAGGCTGAAAAACAAGATGATAATAAAAGTAAGCGATGATTAAATAAAACAACTCATAACAACCATTTTTAGAGTGATTTCATTAATAAGAACTAAACACAATAACCTAAAGATATGTGCTGTACCTCTAACCTATAGAACATAACTTTTTTCATTGAACTTCTCCACCTCCAGCAATAAAGCAAAGAGTCTCAGTTGAGAGAAAGAGCTGTTCTGTTGTTCATTTATCTGTGGCCTGAAATCCATATTCAGCTGTAAAGGAAAGCTCACATCGAGACTCACCTTCGGTCAATTTGCAAGTATGATTTCCACTCCTAGAAATGATCGCATTTTGGGCTGAAAGCTTTTCTAATTAAAACCTGACAAAGAGCCGCTTGTTAACACTTGCAAGGTTTTTAATGCTATCATTCAAGAACACCAAGAGGGAATAGAGTCGGCTGATTTATGAAGAAAGACCCATTAAATATTGAACGAGGTTGTATTCACCAGAAAAGGAACTGAAGGGACAGACTGAGGGAAGACAGGAGCCAAGTAATTGGGATGTAAAAGCAACAGCGGGGGGATACACAGGAGAGAAACAAGGATTTGGAGTTTGCATAAAGGCAGTCAGAGAAACAGAAGAAGCTGAAACAATGCTGAGAGCTAA